ATTTTTGCCCCTCTCCCCCAAAAGCTCACACCGATACATTCTGTTACAACTCGATTCTGGGGAAGGAAATAATAATAATAAAAAAAAGTGCTTGGCTCTGTGGTTCCGGAAAAATGGCTCCCGCCTTCAGAGCCACGCAGGTAATTAACATCTGTCACACGTGTCAAAAATAACTGCTACATAAACACAACTGCTGCTCTGGTGACCGAATTCAATTGACCTCAAGAGTCTGATCTTGTTTCTTRAGCAGGGAGAGAAATCCATCATGGATTCTGTTCAGGATTTAAGTTGTATTTTATTTTTTATTGAAGGTTACAGAGGTTAGACTTACCTGGGTTTTTTTGGACAAACACAGATCAATTGTTCTTAATAGTGTTTTTTTTCACACTCAGAAAAAAAACATCACCATCTCCCTGTATCCAGTTTATTAAATAAAAAGCCACCCCTTGGATGTAATTCCCACTCTAATTGTTATGATTTATCACACACATGGGATCAGGCACTCAGAGATAAACCTTATCATCCCCCAGCAGCAGTCCCTGCAGAGGCCTGACACCAAAATGGTGACAAGCTGGAGGTCTCAGCCTGCTGCTGCTGCTGCTGCTGCTGCTGAGAAATAAACCGTCTCTAAGATTTGTTTCAGTAGAAACTCCAAATGACCAACTTGTTTAATTTAAGGATTCTCTGAATGAAGAAAGACCCAGAAAATCAAATCCTATTTTTAACAATGTTCTCACTTTACAAAAATACAAATATCAGTAAAAGATTATCTCCTTTCTGGTGAATGTCAAAATCATATCTGCAGCATGTTTCCTGTTTAAAACAGCACCTCATGCTCAATTTTAAGATTCATGGTGACCCTGCATTTGATCCTGCATTTTTGTGTTTTATTAACAAGCTCAGCCTTCTCCCTTGTTTCATGCAGACATTTTCCTTAATTCAATGTTTGCAGTTAAATTTGTTGTGTTTATTGTTTCTCAGCCTTTCATGGAGCTCATTCATTGAGCGTGTTCCAACAGAAACCTGTGCAGGTGTCTTTGATCTTCTCTTCTCCAGATTGTTTCCTGTTCTCCTCTGATCTCCMGCTCCTCGGGGGTTTGTTTTTATATTTAATGCGTTGCCTCATCAACCTTTTTCTGATTTTGTCATTAAAGTTTAGTTGTCACTTTAGCTCCTCATTTGGGTCTACATCACCACATATTTCTCATTTATGTGATGAGCTTTGTAGGAGTCTACTAATATATTTGAGTTCAAGTTTATTAATAAAGCACATTTATTTCTGTTGGACAAAGTTCATAAAACAGGAACAAAAAAAAAAAACAGTCAAAAACAAACAACAAAACAAAATAAATCAAATTAATTGCAACACCAAAGATTGAACAACAAAAATGAACTCTCATGAGTTAAAAGCCAATAAATATGTTTAAGATGAGATGATATCCATGTTAGGAGTACAACTTTAACTTTTAAAGCTGAAGTTACAAAATTAACACAGTTAAAAACCTGATTTATTTCTTAAAGTTGAAATGTTTTATCTTCTTTCTGCACACGTTTCATTCAGTCGTTGATTTACTTTGTTTTTTTAAAAGGAATTTTTGTTGTTTTTATGAATGAAATTAAATAAATATGAAATAAATATGTTGCAAACAGCTGCACCTAACATCAACTTCTCATAAAATTCAACTTCATTTAAGGCAGTGTTTATCAGGCTGAGTTCACCTGAAACTCCTCAGACTGAAGTCTCTTAGAGGAGAGATGAAAGGTTTCATTAAAGAAGAACCCGTTCACAGGACCTACTTATTTTTTTCTTTTTGAATTTCATTTAAGCCACAGAAA